TAGCGTTATCATCTTTTTATGTCTTTCTGCTGAGGTAGTGGGAATTTCCTCTAAACTAAACAACAAAGCCATACTGTGGCTCCACTAGCTTGGAAAGACCTGGAAGGCAGTCTGGTTTATTCATCAGTCCTCTTGATTGATTTCTTGCTGCAACTCATTCCATCTAAGAAACATGTTTATCATCCATTAAATTGATGTAACACGCCAAATTAAATCAAGCTTTCCTGTCTTAAAACTTGCCTAGAAGTTCGTGATGGTGATATTTTGGGATTCCACGTGCTCTCTTTAAGCCCGAATGGCAACTAAAAGTAAATAGAGAAAGTAGAATGTCAACTAATAAGCACCTTCAATAAGGGAGGATGTATATTCAAAGCAACTATTTCAAATAGTATTACAGACTAGACAGATTCCCCCCATCTTAAAATAAAAAGTGAGAGAAATACTATAAGCACGTTGCCCATGAGGGTGGCAGACTGGCTGGTTGCAGGTAGATCGTCTCAATGGTCCGTTGATGGACATCCACAGCATCTTCCTGCAAGAAGCACATTTTCTACAGCAGGTGGAGGGAGCAATCTGGGGGAAGTTCTAAGCTTTTTACTGAGAGCTCTGTTATTATTGACCCTGGCATTTAGGCAAATTCCAGTGGCATCTCAGGTCCCCAAGTCTGAGAACAGGATTCCTGTAGGGACTCTAACTGCCTTTGGCTATGACACACCCTTTGGCAGATGCTCTTAGCAGCTGTCAGTTTCAGTTTCAGTGTGGAAATAGATGATTTATCATCCCCTGAAAATTGGTGGTGGTGCTGGGGGGTGTTGAAAGGGACTCTGATGGACATATCTTTGCAACTTTAACGATATAGACTGGGCTTGTAGGTAAGAAAGCTTGCCTTTGGCTTGCTTAAAAAAAAGTTGGCTTTCAGAACAATGGCCTTTTGTTTGGATAGAAGACCCATGGAAATAGTATGAAAGTATTAAGAGAAAAATATACAAATCAAATTTTTTCTTTGTACACAATAGATGCTCGATGTTTGTTATTTGCAATATGGGGATTTGATGATGGGTGGGGATAATCTCTACATGACAAAGACTGCTTTTTCCTCTGAAGTTTGCACCTTATCTGACAAATTCACTGCAGCTAAAAGTTTGTCCACATAAAAATGCCTTCTCTTAGCTGTGAATTACAAGTCATTGAACGTAGTGAGGACTCCGTCTGTAAAGTCAACTGGAAGAAATTTCAGAAAAGTATTATTGAACTTCTGACTGTGCTGGATAACAGAGGCAGCCTGTGGAAAGGCCACATTGGATTGATGGAGGCTGATTAGTTGGGATTTTTAAATAAGTTCCACAAATTACAGTAATCCATTTCAGGAATTTAACCCTACAGGAATAGTTTTAACAAAGAAGAATGAAGTTCTTTTCATCTTTGAGTCATGCCATTGGGGGGTTGGGTGAGAAAAGTCAAATGACTAATTGCTAGTTTGTGAACTAGATTCAAATGATCTTAATATAATTTAAACATAGAATTTTAGTCCATTGGTTATGATTTTGTATCTTATAGCTTCTCAGAGGCATTATGGGTAAAGCAAGAAGTTGAGGATTAGGAGGAGAAACAGACGTAGATAACTCATCATGCCAGTTTCATGGATGTTCCTGGACTTTCTTGTGAGGCTGATGGAGCACCTAGGCCGTAGAACAGCAACCAGGCTTAGCTATGTCCTTTTAGATGTCTAAGAATTAATGAAGTGTGAATCTACTTTCTTCCAGTCAAGGAAGAAAAACAGCTAAGAGACAGAGGGGACATCAGAAATACACAAGTACCCAAGTGTCTCCCTCCTCCTGTTCTTCTCGGGCCGCTCAGTCTGCTGTGCTGTTGGAACTGGGCTTGCAGGTTGAAGAGTCTCACAGCTGGAGGCTGCCAGGTCTTGACTGATGAGGTTTTCCAGTTGGGTCCAGACTGCTGGCAAAAGGCACCATCTTCTCTGTACATTTGGCCAAGGAGGTGGAGGTGGATGGCAGATGCATATCTATAAGATTTAAAGTGTGGATGGAGGGTAGAGGGAAGAGAGAAGGAAGAGAGGCTTCATATTATCCTCAAACACCAGTGTCTATAGAATCAGGGCAATAGGACCATTTATCTCATTTTTGTGCAGGATCTTAACAGCTGTTTCTCCCTTTAACGTAAGGTTGAAAAAGACTCTGTGGGGTACAAACATTCTACTTTTTGACTCTGCCACTTCGAAAGACCTAGAAGTACGGGCTTTGCGCTCTGTCTATATATGTAAATGGCTGTGTCCCCAAGTAGCTCTGCCTTTGATTCTGAATGTGAGTTTTCCCTGAATGTTGGTTCAGGGGAGGATGTTGACAACCCAACATGGATGTGATGGGAGGTTCATGTTTTCAGGGGGGCTAGATGGGTGCTTGGGGAAAGCTGGTCTTTGCGATACTATCCTTACTCGAGAAGGGCTTAGATTCTTAGCTTAACCATATACCTGACTAGCTTCAAAGGACTGCATAATTGTCCTGGGACATTGGTGACTCCACAGCATGATCACACTCAGGACAAGCCGGAACAGCACCCATTGAGAAGCTGGCTCTTCTGCGTGTGATGCTGGGGAAGGATCCTGCAGCCCCAGTGTGTGCCTTCCATTGCTACGTGCTGCGCTGTTCTGTGGCCCTTTTGCTACTACATCTGAGTGGTGATGGTGTGGACCTCATTGAAGAAGACTGCCCCAGGCCAGAGGGATACTTGAGTAGGAGACTTTCAAGGAATTGCTTAGAATAAGGTGTTTTTATTCAGGGCAGATTGTTCTTGGCAGACACACCCAGGAGTCTATTGGGGCAGGCAGTGGAGGACACTAACTATATCCCCATCGTTCCTGCTACTGCACAATTTTATTTATGAGAGTTTGGGTCATATGAGGCTTGGCTAAGAAGACACCCCATGGGTGGAGTGATACTCACCTCACCACACCTCTGGTATGCTGAGACACCCCAAGGAGAATGTGTGTGGAGAAGGCAGGCAAGAGTGCCACACCCTGAGCCTGCTTCCCTCCCTGCTGTGAGAAAATGAGGAAGAGCCTCTAGAAACCAACCTTGCTTTCCCAGAGGTCTGCCACTACCGTCTTGGCACAGACTCAGGAGGGAGAGGAATGGCAAGTGGGAATATTGCTCTGGGAGGTGGAGCCTTTATTCTCCTCAGATATTTATCTGAAAATAGCCGAAGGAGTTCAGATTTCACGGGGCCTTGAACACTTTGGCATATGGGCAATAAAGTGTTGGTTGTTTCGATGCGGATCCCATTAACTGCTCTGTAAATGAGAGATATTTCCAAAGGCTGCTCTCTCTTTCTCTCTCTCTTCTCTTTTCATACATGAGTTCAGATGATTTGACAGATGGACTCTCATTTTGCTTTCTATCTCCTGCATAGTCAAGTTTGGCTAAGAGGTAATATTTGCAAGGCACTTATTATGTGCTGGACACCTCATTAAACATTTTACAAGCAATATGTTTTTTATCCCTTTTGTAAGGCGAGTGCTGCAATTTTCTCCCTTTAACAAATGAGGGAATTGATACTCAAGGAAGTTCAGAAAGTCGCTCATGATCACTCGTTAATAAGAGATTGTATTTGTAAGAATAAACAAGGTTATGCTGTGGTGATCAAAACCCACCAATAACCCTGAAAGCTCCCCTATAATCCTCAAATTCTATGGCCCAAAGCCACAAAAGTTTATTCCTTGCTTGTATTACAGGCCCATGCAATTACTCAAAGATGCGGAACGAAGGAGGCGTTACCATCTTGAAAGTTGACACTCTGAGAGTATGGTCCCCCCGGTTGCCACGGTGGGGCAGAGAGTGCTCCTATATAAGTAGTTATACTCTGGGAATGACACACATCACTTCTGTCCACAGCTTATTGGCCAAAACTAGTCACATGACCCCAGTGACAGACTGAGGAGCTGCTTCACCTCCCTGCCCTTAATAAGGAGGTGAACAAAAATGGCTGCCTAATAGAAGGTACTAGATCAGAGACAGACTTTGAACTCTTAACCACTATGTGACACTGCCCTTCAGAAGAATGCTTTAATGCTGGATTGGAGCTACAAAATAGATGTGCAATACTCCATAATTCATTTTACCCCATTCTGTCTGAATGATACCATACCTGCTACTGGATCCCAAGGAGGTATAGATAGCACCTCCTCTCAAGGGTCCTTCTGGTCTCTACCTAGCTTCTGTGCTGTTTAAGACCAATATTCAATGCCTACTGGCCCATGTTTAACCTTTGGGATTCATGTAATCAGCACCCACATAGCTGGGAATCACTGAGTCACAGGCTGAGTCGCTGCTTGCATCTTCTGTGCCTGGAAATGACATTTGTAGGGCAGAGTGTGTCTGCCTCCTACACTCCTGGCAGGTTCCCACGGCTCTGTGCATTCCTGCTGCGGAGGCTTATGGAGTATATCTTGGACATCTCACAGAAACATTTAACAAATGTCACCATCCACACATGACAGGGTACAGTTGTCTTAGACCTGGAAGTCTCTAGTGTGAACATCTTGGCAGGAATCTTCAAAATATTTCTGGAAAAGGGGACTAGGGAATGTATTCATTAACCTGTCCCTGTATACTTCATTTACTTATTCAACTTACCCTCCAGGTAAGATGCAGTTTCAATCAGTTTGTAAGTGAACAGTGAGAGAAACTAAGGGAAACCCAAATGCAGAAGCTGTTTGCAAACATTGCCTTTGGATAGAACCCTCTTTCTTCTAGGAGAAAGAGAGAAAAAGTCAACCTGATACCTATGGAAGAAAAAAAATCTAACATAAAGGAAACACAGAACTTTATCCTAAAAACTAAAATAAAAGTATACCTCTGAAAATTATTTCCTGTAGGAAGTAACAGAACTTAAAAACACAAACAAAAAGAAAAACAGCCTCTTTGTTTCTCAGTATTTTCTTTTTAACCTGTTCCCTCCTTGATTTTTCTGTTATTGTTTGATAGGGTCCAAGCCATTCTTGCATCCTCTGAGTAGAACAAAGTCAATCAACAGAGAATAAAAAGGAGATTGAAGAGAAATAGATTAATTACATGGAAACAGAAGTTGTAATATTAGAAATCATGTCTGTCTTGGAGGAGGTAAGGAGCAGAAATGACACTGTAGAAAATGAAATTAGTATATAGAACAAACATAAGAAATTCCCAGAATGCAGAGAAAAATGTTTAAGATAGTGAGAAAAGACTAAAGGGAAAATGACCAATATGGAAGAGAGAGGAGAAAGACCCAATGAAAGAACTAGGGATATTTCCCTCCCTCCCTGCCCTCCCCCCCAGGGCTAGAGTGCAATAGTGTCATTGTTGTTCCCTGCAACCTCAAACTCCTGGACTTAAGCGATCCTCCTGCCTCCCAAGTAGCTGGGACTGCAGGGGCACACCACCACACCAGGCTAATTTTTCTATTTTTAGTAGGGATGGGATCTCTCTGTTTCTCAGGGCTACAGGTGTGAGCCATTGCACCTGGCTGGCCAAGGCACATTTTCTGTAGAAGGAAATAAAAAAATTCTTTCATAATCATGATTCATGTAAAAACCACACATGAAAATGATAGTAAATTATGCTCTTAGAGAAGCAATCACTAGTTAATGCATTTCAAAATTTTTAATTCAAATATGAAATTCAGAGCTTTTTTGAGAATAATTATAAAAATGAAACAATTTTACAAAAAAGATACACAGTAAGATTTGCATAAATGTTCCTAGATCAGAAGATCAAATGGTATAAAGATACACATTATTTCTCTATTATTTTATTATTTAAATAATCTTAATAAAAACTCTGATCGTATGGGCCAAAGGGGCCTTTGAAAAAGTGATTCTAACATTTATGTGGAAGCAGAAATGATGAAAGTAGCCAAGAAAATTCGAAAGAGCTATTATGATAGATTATAATCAAAACAGCCTGGTGGTGGTAGAAAAACTGATAGGCAGAGAAATGCAGTGAGAAGATGTCCCAGCATTATTTAGTGATTCTTTCTGCTTTAATTTTGAATGCCAAATTTAATCATAAACTCACTCTTCTTTGTAGACCGAAGTCTATTTTTGGGATAAGTGGTTAACTATTTGAAATAAGTTGGCATCGTTTCTTGAAGCACACACCACAATATAAAGACCAAAAGGACTAAATAGTCCAATGCACAAAAAAGAAACCAAAAATAAAACAGGGGTGGATAGATCTCTGATCTCAAGTTTGGATTCGTTTGTCTTTATGTAAGGAGATGGGGAAAAATTTATTCACCACAATTCCACTTCTACTTATGAATGGAACTCATTTGTTAGAGAAAGTTCCTGAAGTAGAAAAGGGAGCAGTAAAGGGGACCGAGTGATATGCTTGGCCGTGCTGGAGATGAGGAAGAGAGTTTGCTTGGTACTCCAACAAGGAAGGGAGGAGAAGACAAAAGGAGAAGCAAAAGGAAGTAAACCAAAGGAATCTGAAGCCATCCTAACGTGTGGAGGGTTGGAGGAAGAAGTGACAATTAAGAGCAAGATATGGAACTGTCACCAGCCACCGAGCTGGTGTTTGAGCTGCATTTCCCCAGTCATTACAGAGCAGAAGGTGCCCATCAAGTATATGTGATAGCTGCATATAAAAGCAGAGAACCCAGAAAATCTCAGAGCAGAGCAATTGGTGGATTTCCTAACACAAGAGTTAAACATCGTTTACATCAGGGGTCTGCAGACTGTGTATGCTCCTTGGCCCAAACATAGCTGCATCCATTAGTTTATGTAGTATCTACCCCTGCTTCCAGGCTACAACTGCAGCACTGAGTAGTTGCAATAGAGAGTATGTGGCCCACAAAGTCTACAATATTTACCATTTAGCCCTTCACAGAAAAACTTTGCTAACCCAGCTTTCCATTAAAAGAAGTTATAAGATAATTAAAAGGCAAACAGCAAATTCGGAAACAAAACACTTGACACAAATATACCAAAACAAAGAATGGCATCTTGAATATACAGAAGGCCCTTCTAAATCTATTGAAAAACTGCCAGTTGATAATAGGCAGAGGATATGAATAGGCATTTAATTGAAAAAAAACAAAAACACAAAGGTATCAACCTATGAACAAACAGAAGTTCAGCCTCACTAATTAGCAATCAAAGAACAGCAGAACCAGCCTGATACCTCAACAGTCTTTGGAGGATGTCTTCACATGGACAGCTGCAGGCGCAGTTGGCTGGGGGTGATACTGCAAAGCAAACTGACCATGTACCTTAGCACCTTAAGAAGATAGAAAAGGTTATATACCCTGTGATTTCGAAATTCCATTTCTAAGAAGCTATCTCGAGCAAGTATTGGGAGATACAAATATGAAAAGGTGAGACTATTCCCTGATCTGGTGATATTCCTAAGTCCACCTCTTACTGGATGAGATGACTTTGTGCAAGATACCAAAGCTTGCTAAGCTTCACTTTCCTCATTCTGTACAATGGGAATTAAAAATGGTACCCACTCATAGAGCTGTCACGAAGATCCCGTGCAATGACACATGCAGGGTTTTAGGAAGGAGATCTCTTACATAGTAGTAACATGTAGCAAGTACTACCAACTATTTTCTTTAAAGTGAAATAATAAAGAAATAAGGAAATAAATTCTGATATAGCTTTATGAAAGAATATTAGCCATTAAATTAATGAGTCTTAACACATATTAATGATATAGAAAAAGTTTATAATGAAAATAAATCAGAGTACAAAATTGAATATGTAACAGTATTCCGATGATGAATAGAAAATCTGTAAATATACGTGTATGCACATAAAAGGCCTGGAAATAAACACATCAGAATATTAAGAATAGTCTTTGGCAGGAATAAGGTTGACTATGACTGTGATTTTAAATTAGTCTAATTATTATTTTTGATAATCAACCAAAAAACTAAGACTTTTCTGATAACAGAATAGGTAGGGAATAATTACCAAGGCATATATATTGAAAAAAATACAAATATATCTTGATGCTTTTAACTAGGTGCGAGGTGGTGGGAGCAAGTGTAGGCCACCATCGGGAAATTCCTGTCTGGTTTAATTTCTGGCCAGTGTCTGTGTGGAAGGTCTGTATGAGAAGTGGAAAAGTTGGGGTGGCCTGGGGGATCCATGTTGATCTTAATTCTTTCAATTTATAAACTTATTTCAGAAACCAGGGTCCCCATGCTATTTTTCTCTTTATCTCCACCAGGATGTTAGCATCGCTCCGGTCCTTCCATGCAAATGTATCGACCCCCTCCTGCATTCCTTTATCCCACTCCTTCTCCCAAGCACACCTTGAGCAAGATGCATTCTCCACTCTGGCTCAAGCGACCTCTCCCTCTTCCATCCCTGGGACACCTTCTCGGATCTCAGCTCTCCCAGGCAGACCTGCTGGGAGAGAGGCTGCTTCTGTTCACTAAACAACCACCCACACTGTCTCCATGAATTACCACTGTATGGGATGATAAGTTATTTTACTTTACCCATAGTTAGGATTTCACAGACTCCTTTGGACTTAAGAGCTCAGCTCATGTCATTGAGGTCAGATCATAAAATCCTTTACATTAAAATTGATCTCCCAGCCATGGCCCACAAGGCCTTAGTGATATGGTCCTTGCTTACTTTCTGGATTTCTTCTGGCCTTTCAAACACACCGGGCCTGTGCACTTTTGTTCCTTCTACCTGGACCACTCATTCCCTTTCCTCTAATCTTCACACTGAACCCCCGAGAGGGGCTTTCCCTGGTCCCTTCCACCCAACCAGGGTACCTCCCTCAGTTGTCTGCTATCACATCACTCCCTTTTCTCTTCCCCAGAGCAACCCTCATATTATTGTTTTGCTGTCTTTCATTAGAATGCACACTCTTTGAGGGAGAGGCTCTGTCTTTTGTATCTCCGTACCCAGCCTAGTATAGCACTTCGTAAATATTCATTGACAGACTGTCTTGTAGTCATTATTTTTAGGGAGCTTGCCTCATGGGGTACTTCCACATAGACAGGGTAGCAGCTAGCACTGGAAGATAAAACACATTTCGTGACACACCGATAATATTTTTCCAGAAACCCCTGCAATGCCCTTCCTGGCCTGGGACAAAAAGGCGTCATCATAATATTGAAAATGAGAGAATTGGAAAACAGAGTCCAAAAGCTTGAATAGACAATGGAGATTGTTCAGTTCTACCCATGCCATTTTACAGAGGAGAAATCAAGGCCCTGAGAAGGCCCCATGGAAGGTCAATCAGAGCCAGACCTGAACCAAGCTGATGGCAGTGACCCCAAAGAGCCCACACCATTTTTGCCCTCTCTCTTCTTCCTATCTCTGGTGGTTTTGGTAGAGGTCAGAGAATGCATCATTACAAAGCATTCTATTTCTCTTCTGAGGACATAGGCACCAACAAAAGTCATTTCTACCTTTAGTGGCAAGGTTTAGGGGACAAGGGACCACAACAGGAATAAAGACCTACTGAGGGCCTGGCCCATGGGTTTGGGTTTCTGCCTCCCAAGCCAACAAACCAGTTATCAGAGGGGAATGGCATTCCATTGTCTGTCCCGGCCTTGGGTCAAACTTGAGAACCAGGCAAACATCGTTGGTACATGCTTCCCTGATTAAACCATCATGGCATCCTTCTGACCTGTAAGTGTGGAGGGAAGGAATGTGTTATGGGACTCAGTGAATGAACTTCTTTATAACACGACATTGGACGTGAGGCTTTGAGTGCCTGCGCCCTAACAACACTCCAGTAAACAAACACCTTCCATAAAGAGCCTCCTAAATGCCAGCTGTGTGATGTTAAGGGAACAGTCTCAAGAAACTGCAAAGAGCTGCATTATTTGTGAACACAAGGTAGGAACCAGTCTGTATCTATCTCTGCTGAGGACAGGAGAGAAGCAAGTGGGCTTGGGAAGGTCAGAAGGAAAGGATGGGCCCACAGAGACTAGAATCTGTATGATGATTCATAATGGAATTTTAAAATGTAATAGTTGCTGCTTTTTGGGGAACTATTTACGGTCAGTTTTAAAGGCAGAGGGCTAGGATCCAGTTGAAGGATGAGGACTCATATGGATAATACAGCTTAATCTTATGCAGACAAGAAGGGATGAAACAAGGAAATTC